GGGGGGGGTGTGTGTGTGAGTAAGTGTGTGTGTGTGTGCGAGTCATTGTGTGTGTGTATGTGAGAGTGTGAGAGAGAGAGTGAGTGTGTGTGTGAGTCATTGTGTGTGTGTATGTGAGTGTGTGTGAGAGTGTGTGAGAGAGAGAGAGTGTGTGTGTGTTTGTGGGTGTGTGTGTGAGCGTGTGTGTGAGTCATTGTGTGTGTGTGTATGTGAGCGTGTGTGAGAGTGTGAGAGAGAGAGAGAGAGAGTGTGTGTGAGCGTGTGAGTTATCGTGTGTGTATGTGAGTCAGTGTGTGAGAGTGTGAGAGAGAGTGTGTGTGTGTGTGTGTGTGTGTGTGTGAGTGTGTGTAAGTGGGTGGGGGACAAGGACCCGGGTTAAATTTAGCCTTCACCTTGAACCTGCAGGCCTGAGCGGATTCTGGGGGGTTCTGGTCCAGACCTGGGCTCATATCCCCCCCGGTCCAGACCACCTTACAGAACTGGACTCCTGCTCAGACCTGTTTCTGTCCCCACAGCTCAGAGACGGAGGGAAGCCGCCGGCTGCTGTGTGAGGCCCCCCCCCAGCTGGGACTTTGTAAATAAATAGAGCTCTTTATTTTTGATGGCTGGAGTAGAAAAGCGAGCTGGAGCCTCTGGTTCCTGCTGGTTCTGTGTTTGGGTTCCTGTGTTTTGGGTTCCTGTGTTTTGGGTTCCTGTGTTTTGGCTGAGCTGTAACCGGAGCTGAGGTGGAAACTGCACCTGACTGGGGCTATCTTTGGTCCCAGTAGATACCCCCCCCCCCCAGCCCACGTCTGGCTACTAAAAAAAAGCCCTGTCACCCTCAGCCACGCGGAGCCGGGCGAGCAGCTGCTGCTGTGTTTAAGCTGTGTTTACCCACAGAAAGCCCACCGCTCACACACTCTGGGGCTGGACCTGGACTCCTGCTTCTGGGCTCCTCAGAAACTCAGAATACTGAAAGAAAAAACAAATAGGTGTTATCCTGTTATTCTTCCTCATTAAACCTCTTGGTGCATCAACAGAAAAACATGTCACACTGTAGAATTTATAAGCTAAAAAAGAGCATTTTAGGCACTGTTAAACTTTCCCCTCAGCCCAAAAATGTGAAACTACTTGATAAAAAGCTGTTTTTAGCTGCATTCTGCCTGATGACCAGCAGGGGGACCTTTTGTGACCCTAATTTCTGCTTTCTGAACATAGTAAAATAGGATTTGTTCTCAACAAAAAGGTAGTTTTTAACAAATTTAAAATATGAGTTGAATGACTTTTGGATTAAAATTGAAGGATTTTATTTTTTTTTGCCGAGTGATCCCCCAGTTAAGACAAATATACATTATGGTTTTAGGTCTAATGTAACTGTAATAAAAGGGTTTTTGTTTAAAGAAAAAAACAGCAAAAACTTGATATTCAGGCTTAAGAACAACTTGTTTTTCCCGTTAGCAAGATGAGAGTTTGGGATTATATCAGATTTTGTGGGCATAAATCTGCTCCTGACAGTTGAATCTTTTATTTTTATACCAGAAAAACAGACGTAAACTGTCTCTGATGTTGAGATCTGATCCTCCTGCTGGTTCTCTGGTTTCCACACAAAAGAAATGTTTACCTTTTGCACTGTTGCACACTCGCTTTGCGGGGGGATTAAACCAGCTTCAGAGCGTCACTGGGATGTTGCACACTACCTCAGTCCTGTATCCAATAGGAGGCCTACCTCTGCTCCAAACCCAGATCACCACTGTGAAAAGTACTTGAAAAGCTAACAAACGTGTCCTTTGCACATAGCAAACACTGAGAAGCTGCATGAAGAGATGATGTATTTTTGTACAATTAAAACCAAAACGAGCCAATCAAATCGCCTTCTGTGTCTGAGATGAGCCTGAGAAAAGCCTGAAAAGTGGAAATGGGTGTAAATGGGTCAGAAATCTGAGTGAGACCTGGAGCTGCTGCCAGCAGGAAAAACCCACAACTGTGGAGTCCAGTCAGTTCTGGTGGGAAAAAGGCTGAAGCTGGCTTCTGATTTCCTGATGAAACGGGGCCATTTCCCTGCTTTCTGACCACTCTGACGAGCTCCTGTGTAAAAAATATGACAGATGAGCTTTTAAAACCATTTTATGACTCAAATCTATTCAAAACCAGAATGTGAATGAAAAATAGTAAAGACATCTTTAAAAATGACCCTCATGGAAAAACTTAAAGAGGAGTTTACCAATTATTCTAAAGTTCTAAAGAAAAGTTTCATGTTTCTTCTTTATATCCAATTTTTAAAAGAGTGTCTCTTGAAGTAAACAAAGAAAACAGCAGAAGTCATTTCAATAATCTTTATTTCATAAAAAAGTCAATTGGTTTATATCAGATTAAAGAAAGTAGAAACCAATAATATTCATCAGGTAGCTGGCGAGGCGTCTTTAGGGGGGGGGGCAGACCGGGGCGGCCTCCTCAAGTCGCCCAAAAAGAAAAAGGTCAAAGGTTAACGAGGGGACGGGAGCTGGGCAGAAGGATTTAAATATAAAAGGGTGATGAGCAGGAGAAGGAAACTTTGGCAAAACCAATGCGCTGTGGGCCTGGTGGTCACATGACACGGGGGCCACGCCCCCAGACGGGACGGGGAATGTTTGTCTCCCGGTTACAGGAGTTTCACAACAGAAGAGTCAAAGAAAAGGGGGGGTTTGCCTTCGCTTAGAGTGATTTAAGGACCGAGCCCTTTGGGTTGTCTGCCAGTGTGGGGGGGGCGAGAAGTAACAGGAGGTAGAAGAGAGAGAAGAGGAAACACATTCTACCGCTCCTGCTGCTACTTGTAAAAAAACAAAGAAAGAAAGAAAAAAACTCGTCTGCAGACGGAGGCCTCAGTCCGCCTCCTCCTCCTCTGACTCCGACTCTAAAGGGGACACACAGTCAGGAATACTGTCAGAATCCCACAGGGAAATACAACAGCATTTACAAATATACACGTCTATACATATATATATTAAAAAATCCCAGATTACACACTTTTCTGCTTTTTCCCACAAAAAAACAAAAACACCAATTCAGAGTAAACTGCATGAAAACATAAGTTGGGCCTAAAAACACACAAAAAATAAATAAATAAATCTGCCTCCAGATCCATTTTAAACCAGTTAGCAGCCCAAATGAGGAAAATTCTCCCTTTCAGGAGTGAGGAGGCTGAACATTAGGACCAGGCCTCTAACACCCTAACTAGAGCCCACTTCTGCTTTTAAAACAGGATCTCAGGGAACTTAAAACCATTCATCCTGAGGCTCAGACCCGTTTACAGGCAGAAAGCAGCCTGAGCTCCAGCTCAGCATCAAATGCTCTCAGCTACTCCGAGGCCTGAGGTCAGAAACAGACCGTCTCAGACCTGAGGGGGTTCCTTTACCTTCCTCGGCGTTCTTCAGCCACTCCATAAACTTTTTCATTTGCTCCAGGAAGACGCTCTTCCCCTTGGCGAGGTGGGCCTCGGTGTACCACTTCACGATGGCCTCTTCGCTCAGCACTTCGGCTGGAAGCCACACAGAGAGCAGCGTTAGAGAGCAGCCTCACACAGAGAGCATCAATATCTGGATCGGACACCGATATTTGCAAAAAAATGCATATCGGCCGGCAGGAGAAAATGCAGATCCAGTTTTTAAAATCCGTTTTCCACCGGTTAAACTAATCCATTCCACTTTGCTGTGTTGTTTCCTAGTTTCCGGTCATTTTCCAGCACATTAGCGTTAGCATTAGCATCTCCTGACCCACAGGTCTGTGTCCTAACCATTAAGACAGCCATGTTGATCTGAAACTATCAGTAAAAATGTCAGTTGTTCAGGATTATTTTATCGTATTTTGTTTCTCCCTGAATAAACAGGTCAGTGTCTCTTTACCAGCCATTGTGTACTATTCAAACTCACCTAATTGAACTGGCTAGTTATCAGAATAAATCCCTGTTCAACATGAGTCTGACAGCTAAGTAAGTAGATAAATAACTTTAAACGTTAACACATGCTCCGATAGGCCGGGATCGGATCTGAAGTGAAAAAAGCTGGATCGGGACGTCCCTATTAGAGAGCAGAAGATCTACCCAACCAGAGGGCCTGGGAGGGGGGGCACCCACCTTTGTAGAGGAGCACCACGATCTTCTGGAAGGCCTTCATGAAGTGGATGTTGTCGTAGCAGTACTCCTGGATCTTCAGCAGCAGGCTGAGCTCCGACAGGCCCTGGGAGGTGAAGGCCTTCAGCAGAGGGCTGTATTGCTGAGGGAGAGAGGGGCGTTCAGGGTCCTGAGGGCTGGGGGGAAACGCCAGCTGCTCCAGGGCCGACTTTAAATGCACCGCTGGGCTGGAGCAGAAGCTTCACAGCAGCAGAGTCAAAGTAACCGAGGGGCTTAAACCGGATTAAAGCTTAAAACCCAGTGAGTTTAAAGTTCATGTTGAGCTCTCTGATGCCTTCACTGCCTCGTTAGGATCATTTAGAGGATGACACTGATCTCAGGTTTCAACTCCTTTAAGGCTCTAAAGCTCATTTAGGGCAGAAAAAGCCTTTTGGTCCACAGAGGGATGCCAGTCATCTCTTTAGAGAGATTCTGCTTTTTAAGCTTCTCAAAGCGGGGAAACTAAAAGAACAACCAACTTTTAAAAAGGGCCCAACTGAGTTCCTGCATTTTGGGAGTAAAATGCTGCACTTGAAAGTAGCTTATAACGTAGGCATTTCTGGGTTTCCTGCCTCAAATGTTTTTTTTTTTTTAAAGACAACATTATTTTGTAATGATTTGTATCATGCAGAATTAAAAATGTTTTTGCCCTCTTTCTGATCATTTCTAAACACTAAACATGTTTTTCTGAGTTCAGCTTTGTGTTCAACCTGCTGTTTGAATGCGCTTGGTGGATAAAAAAAGCTGGGAATCAGACTACTCTGGATGGTAAAAAGGCAATTCTGTGACTTTAAATCAGACTTCTATCAGTAAAACATGTTGAGAATGCTTTGTGCGAGTTAACGCCTCAAACAGGAAAATGTGGATGAATCTGTTTTTACTTCACTGTTTGAGGCATAAATCAAAGTTGGGAGCATCAGATTAGCGGCACTTCGGCTTCTAAAAGCCACAACGTGGTGGTTCTGGTGGTGAAAATAAAAACAGTCCACCGGCCTGTGGACGGTTTGAGTTCCAGAGAAGCTGCTTTCTGCTGGCATACCTTCAAGTGTTTGATGGCTTGTTCGGTCACCAGCTCCTCCTTCTTGTTCCACTCCACGCAGCTCATCACGCTGGTCCAGATGATGCTGATCATGGCCTGCTCGGAGAGGTTGGCCTTCTTCATCTCCTCCTTGGTGAAGCCGATGATCTGAGACCCACAGAAGCAGGTTAGCGCTCCGCTCCACCCCCATTTGTACATTCAGATCTATATTTTTCAAGTTTGTTCATTTTTACATTCGGATCTATATTTTTTAAAGACTGTATTTTTCAGTTTTATAATTTTTGTCCTATATTTTTAATTTCTACATTTTATTTCTTGCTTCTCATAGAAGTGTTGTGTACTAAACACCAAGGTAAATTCCTTGTAAGTCTAAAAACCTACTTGGCAATAAACCTTATTCTGATTCTGAAAAGGGGAGCTTGCAGGCCCCGGAGCCCACCTCCTTCTGGGGGTCTCCCCGGGCCATCATCTCCTGGAGCTCCTTCTGCAGCTCCTTGCGGGCGCCGATCGACTGCTGGTTTCGGGCAAAGTCCGACAGCTCCTTCAGCCCGGCGTCGGTGAAGTACTTAGAAAAGTGCTCGCAGCTCCGTTTGTTGGCAGGAAAGAGCTCCTGTGGGGCAGAGATGGGTCAGAGCGGCCCCCCCGAGCATTTTCGATACCACAAGGATAAAAACAAAGACCCCAAAATGTAACTGAATTGTGTCTTTCATTTCAAATTGGTCAGAAGCGGCCCCCCCGAGCCCCCCACCCCCCCCCCGGCCGGCTGGACACCCACCATCAGCCGGTTGTCCATGCCCACTTTGCGGAGGCTGCCGGCCACAGAGTTGATGTCCTTCTCGTTGATCCATGATTTGAACAGCTTGACAGCGAAGGCTGCAGAGACTCCTGAACACAGACGACAGGCGTCAGCTCCCAAAGCAACACGCCCGGGCCTTTAAAAGCCCTCCGCCAGGGGGGGGGGCTCACCCTCTTTGACGAGGTTCTCGTTGTAGAGGCTGATCAGGATGGAGGCCGATATGTTGCCGTTGGCCAGCAGGATGCCGGTGAGCATGGCCAGTTTGTTCCGCTCAGACTCTGTGAATCCCTTCAGAAACAGCAGCAGCTGCCGGCACAAACACGCACAGTTACAGGCGCTCGCCTCCCAAAAGGGGGCGGGGCTACAGATCGCTATTCTGAAAAAAGGTAGAGCTCATTTGGGTTCCCTGACATGAAGCCAATAAGAAAAAGCCAAAAAGTGGAAGCATAAAGCTTCGATCAGGGCTGGAATAAAGAGCTGCCTTTGTTGCCTCCATCCCAGACTTAGCAGATTTCCTTACATTTGATAAAACACCGAATAAGGATCCGAATAAGGATCCAAATAAAGATCTAAAGAGTGGATTAGCTGACTTTTCTGAACAAAGATGACAGGTAAAAAGCTGATCTCAGCTCCACATCTGTCTGAACAGCTGGAGCTGCTCAGACCTCTAAAAGACTGGCTCACCTTCTTGATCTCCTCTTCGAAACCCTTCTCCAGGTACTTGTAACGCCTGATCAGCTTGTTAAAAACCTATTTCACAGGAGGGAGGGGACAGCTGTCAGCACACAGCGGGGTCCGGGGGGGGGTTCAGGGGGGGTCAGGAAACGGGCCGGGCGCTCACCTGAGCATACGCTTGCATTGTCTCCAGGTCTTCTTGTGCCGTGAAGAGGCAGAACTCGGTGCGGGTCATGTCATCAGACAGCGTCCCTCCTGGGGCTGGGGGGGGGGGGGGGGGGGGCGGACATGGGGGGGGTTAGGCGGGGGGAGAGCTAACGGCCAGATCTGACGGGCTGCGGTCAGCTGCACTCACCCAGCATCCCGCCGGCCACCAGGATGTCAAACAGCGTCTCTGCATAGCGGCGGTAGTCAAGCTTGGCGCCAGAGGCATCCAGGAACTTCGCGACCGCTTCCAAATCAGTGCCAGTTTGATTCAAGCCTTGTACGATACTTTCTTGAAACTGAGTAGGGTCAAATCTCTCCTTTTCATCTGCGGAGAGTGGACAGTGCACATGTTGGGCTGAGACAAACTGAGGCCCCCGGGCTGAGGGACAGGCAGGCAGAAAGCACCAGGCTCACCTCTTTTCCTCGTTTTGAAACGCTGGCCGGTTAGCGTTGGCTTTTGCTGCTTTTGATTATTCATAAAAGACACCCTGAAAGAAGGCAAAGGCATCTGGTTAATGTTTACAGATGTGACAGTGTGTGTTGAAGGGAGGAGCTTAACAGCTTATGCCTAAATGTACAACCAGGATCTCTGCTCAAAAGCAGCAACAAATCCTCACACCAACAAGGAGCTGAAATCATGTCAGCACACGATGGAAAGTTGTTAAACCGCTTTATCAAAGCCGCCGGCGTCCGCAGTCTAAACACAAATAAAGGAAAACGTGCAGTTGGAGCCCCAGGCCGGCCCGACGGATGTGGGGATTAAATGTTTAGCAAACCAGCAACACAAAACAACCCTCCTATCAGCCACGTTTCCTAAAAGAAATTCACTCAAATTCTGAATGTCGTTCTCATGGGAAGTTAAGGTCTCAGATTGTAAAAAAAAGCCCAAAGATTATCATCTGGTTCTGTTACCCCACAAGTATAGAAACATGTTTAGAAATATCAGAAAAATCCCATTTGGGGGACCAGTTGGATGTACAGAGAGTTTCAAACACAGTTTGTTACACAGAGGAAAATTAGGCAATTATATGACAGAAAATGGGCACAAAGTAAACAGATAATATTTTGATAGCTCAAAAAAAACAAAAAAAACAATGGAGTCTATAACATAATAAATGATGGATTATGTGCCTTTTCTGAACAAAACTATTTCAGTGTGTCCGGGCTCAATGAAAACAGTAGAAGTAATAAACTAACGGATGTGCTTGTTTTTGTGGTAAATGAGCCCCACATTAACTCTGTGCCAGGTTTACAGCATCTCAGATAAACAACACTGTCACAGCTCCTCTGACCAACGATGCAAGACCACTTTGCACTGAACTACACAGCAGAACACAATAAAGGTCGTTAAAAGTTAGTATATGATGCTGAAGAAGTCCACAAACTAATGAGTTTCTGCAGAAAAAAAATCCAGAAAAGGTTAAATAAATCAAGCATTTCTTTAAAATGTATCATGAACTTTTACTTTTTGAAATACTATAATCGCAAAGCATTTGCAGATTACATAATTGACAATACATCTATCAACAAATGCTTTAATTGAGGAGAGAGACCAAATTACTAACAAATTACTGCAACAAAAAGATTAGAAAGTAGTGAAAAAGCCACAACGCAGTTAGGTTTAGTTTCAGACCGATTTACTTGAACGCAACACCACATTTCCAGCTCTTTAAAAGCCTAAAGTACAGTTTGTTCTGCAGGCTGATCTCTGATTCTGCACAAAAAAATTACAGTAACTCTCCGGATTAAAGTGCCACATCCAGATTATTCAACTCAAAGTGTTTTTTTTCTGGTAATCGGTGTGACTGCACACGCCTGGCAAACTGCAGGTGAGCGTTTAAATGTCCTCCCACTCAGAAACGGAGGACCGGAGACAAAAGGCAGAGCGGGGAGGTACAATGGAGCTGGTGGGTGTTGGGTCGTGATAGCGACCAGGTGCTGACGTTTACCATAAAAACACAGCCAACAGGTTTTCATCTGAGGCGGATACGACTTTTAAATGGCCTGGAGTAGTCGATGCACTGCCTGCTGGGACAGTGGATGGTGTATTTTAAATATTTCCCCCTGCTAATTTTGGATTAGCACTAGCTAAATCCGGGCCTCGCCATGCGCCGGGCCGCTGCTAGCCGGGCCCGCTAGCTGGATTACCATCCGGTAACTCATAAAACACCACCGAAACGAGACGACCCGTCTTAAAACGCAACCCGTTACCGAGATGTCACAGTGATTTCGTTGACAACGCCGTGACAGGACCGAAGCTTACGCCAGTTGCTTTAGCTCCGTTAGCTCAACGAGCCGGAGGAGGCAAAAATCGCCCTCCGGGGGCGCCCCTGAACGCAACATCCCCGGCTCCGAAAAACTTACTTAAAGCCTTTTAACGACACGAACCGGCGAGTTTGAGAGAAGGTCGACACGAAGGAATAGACGTAGATAAAGTAAAACCAGATACTCACCGAAATTAATGCAGATAAAAAACGGTTGTTGACCAGGGGAATTGAAGCAAGTGTCGACTCTCCAAACGGCCCAAACAAAAAGACCTTTCCGTCAGGACTTCCGCAAGCTCCACCCGCCGCGCATGCGCAGCTCCACGGAGGGGAATTTCCGTTGGAGCCACAAATACAGTTAAAACATTTCAAACTACCAAACAAAATTGACCAAATCTACACGTATTTATAATAAGCATTTATAAAGTAATGACGTTTTCCTGTTTCTACTTTGCTGTTAATGACATTTTTGCCTCGCAACATAACTTTTCTGAGCAAAGGTGGCCCAGAGCTGGGGTAAATTTGGGTCAAAGCTTAAGTTATTTGGGCCAGATGTGCACAGCTTTTACAGTGCAGAGTTTGACATGAGTTACATTAAGGTTTCTGTGGGCCCAACATGACCTTTATGCACAAAAACCACAGCTACAACTCTTCATTGAAGGCCAAATGTGGGCAAATATGGGCCAAAGTGTGGTGATGCAGCATGTCTGTGCAAACAGCTGCACTTGATTTACAGATAACATTTCAATCTTGGTGTAAGGATCATGGAGGGCCCTTCAGGTTTCAGATGTTTCCCTGATACAAATCAATACACTTTTGTCAGGGTTTGAAGAACTTTATCTTTTGAGATCTATTTAATCTAAATCAGGCACTTAGAAGCAGGAAACATCTCAAACCTGCAAGATTTAAAGATCCCTGTTTATAACCATTCATTTCTACAGTTACCCGACATCTTTTTTCCCTCTTATTCGATCTTTGTGTTCTAGTGCAAAAATAATCCAACTGAGATCATTTGTCAAAACATTTATGCTTTAATGTTTTCCTCCCATTCCAGCAAACTTTCAGTCAATCACACTGTTACATCTGGACAACAGCATTGGTTTAATCATTTATACAAAGAACACAATCATAGTCAGGTGAAAGAAATAAAAAAAGATCCCTTTCAGCTTACAGCTGTTAAATCCCTCATCAAGTTGATTCCCATTTCATGGTTAAGAATAGAGCTATAGCGGTGATTAGTAAAGGTTCAGTCTGGTCTGATTTCAGATGTTCAGGGCCCACGGCTTGAAGGTTCCAGGTTCGCTGACTGGAATCTGGAAACAAACAAATAAAACGGTTACAATTTGCACCATTTTTTGTGTGTTTTATTGGCAAAAACTGTGATAATGAAAAAGGACGGGTTGAAGCCTTCAATACTAATCCCTTTTTTTTATTTTATATGTAACTTGTGTGGTTGTGGTGGCAGGTCTGATCACCTTCTGGGTGAACGGGGAGGCGCAGGCCAGGCAGGCTCTCTCC